CACCAAGTTTTTGAACACTTCCTTTCCCAAGTATGTAGAAATTTGGGGAAGCAATTTGTATCCAGAGCTAGTATGGGGAGAGCTATGACCTTTCAGAAGTTTCTAATCTACCACTTTCAGCATTCCTCACCATTTCCCACATTAGCTGATGTTGTGGGGTGTTGTACTTCACTCATATTTTCATGGTCCCCAGCCCCTCATTCTAGATCTAGAATTCTAGGGATTGTGAAGCCCAGCCACTCTGCATAGATAAGACACTGGTAAAGTTTTATTCTGAAGCAAAAGTAAGCAAACATTTGAGAGCCAGGGGATTCAATATCTTGAGGGGGATTGAGGGTCAAACGAGCCAAACATGTTGCAAAATGTATAGGCCTATATCACATAGGGGCTGTGTCCAGGAATTTCTGTTCTTTCCTTAAAACTATGGTAAGTGTAGCCTAGGTCTTATTTTATGGTTTTCTTTCACCTTCCCTCTCAAAATGATGGACAAATGTACCAGCAGTTTCCAGCAGTTGTGGTTGGAGGATATTCCGAGGGCCGCAAACCAGGGATGGGGAAGGCGAAAGGTGGGGCTAAAGGTTACCTCACCATCGTTTCAGCATTGAGCAAACTAGAACCTGAACAACAGCATTTTTGCCCCAACAACAGCAAGACTCCATTTGGGTCCCCTCCTTGAAACAGAAATACTTCCTATATCACACATTCAAGCTTAATGGGATGAAGGCACAAAATTAAATTCTTAATAGGTGTACTTTAGGTAGATGTTTGGCAGAATCACCACAACTGCATCTGACCCTTATTCGGTTTAGTGAAGATACTGTATTGTTTGTTGCAGGGACAGATTGCTCTGGAAGGAGGAGACAGCATCTTGTTCATTTGCTTGGATTTAAATTCTGTACTGATTTCCATTAAAATAAACTCCAAAGCAGTGCTAAAAAGGCCAAATGATTTGAACTATACAAGATCCATTTATATATACAGGGACCCCACGATTGTAAGATTTTGATGCATTCTCCCATGATCTTCTATGTTTATTTTTAATGGTTAAGTCTTGTTTTGTTTTATTGTATGCCACCAAGAGCCTCATTCATGAGATGGATGGGTATATAAATCTGATAGATAGATAGATAGATAGATAGATAGATAGATAGATAGATAGATAGATAGATAGATAGATAGATAATAAGCAAAACGTTTGTTTATTCAATTTATATAGCTGCCCATCTTGTAATTGCTACTCTGGGCAACTAACATCTATATACTACTTGAATTCTCATGTCAGTAAGCTTCAACTGGGTGAAATGGTGCACCATAGGGCAACAATTTTTGAACCAAGGTACTTCAAATGGGCTAACTTACAGAATGTGTCCAAATCCAGGATCCAACTCTTGTGGGATTGAAATTTGGGAAATTTTAAGCTGATTCAGCATTGCTGTGCTGCCACGCCACCAAAGTCAGCCCAGGTCACATGATGGGCATATCCCCAACCTCTTTCCAGCCTCTCTTTGTCCCCTGTGCCCAATCGGCTGGTGGCAAGGCCTGATGGGCAAGCAGCAATTGGCTGCTTTTG